AAATGAATGAAACTATATCTCTGAAATTCTAATACAAAGCCAATATAATGCACAGAAATTTATTAAATTTATTTGTTTTCAAAGGATATAAAATTTTAAAATTATCTAACACATAATTATATTGTAGTTTATATAAAAAAGTTGGTAAGGCAAGTGCTTAAGCAATTCAATGGTAAATTATTTCAGGGGACTTTAGCACAATATTTCTTGCGTTATTTGTGCCCAAATTTAAACAATGACTAATGATACACAAAAGAAAAATAGGATTAAAGATGTTGCTTACTTCGTTAACATCGCACGGTTCGTTAACTCTGTGATTCTGTACATCAGCTCTTATCACAATATCTACATTATCTTCGTCCTCATCACTAGAATTGTTTTCCGAATCAGACATTTCATCATTCACTTCTCCGTTAGAATCGATATAATCTCTCTGTGAATTTCTCTCTCATTTATTTCCCTAACAGTTTCCTATTATGTGAAAAAATTACGTATATGATTAAATTGGACATATGTACATATTTCTTATTTCATGTTTTTATGTACACTTTGTTCAAATTTTAGTTGCTTGCATATTCAATTTTTCTGAAAATGCTCCACAAAGACTAAAAAATAAATCTTGCGTATACAATCGAGCTGACTAATTCGTAAAGATTTAATTATTTACATACAAAAATATAATAGAAAATAATACTATTACGGCAATAAATGATATGTACTACTAACATCTATACGTTCTTTTTGCAACAAATTAAAAAATATACACAAAAATCTATCATAAAATTGCTTCATGTGCAAAGACATTTTACGTTATTTTATGCGAAGTTATATTTTTTTCAGATTTATATTACGTTAATACGATATATTCCCACAGAAATGCGGTTCGGAAAAACTATATAAATATTATTATTAGTAATTCTCATTTGCGATTTGGTAGCGTTAAATTATTCTTGAAAATAATTAATCGATTATTAAACTTTCTTCATTTCTTTCTGGGTCTGTTACATCAGCATGATCAAAGCTTTCATCAAAGAAAATATCAGGAGTTTGATCGGTACATCTGTCATCAGTACTGCTGCGATCTGATTCTTTATTTTCAGACGTATCACTAGTGCTTGAAACTGATGTTAACTCATCAATACTGCTACGATCTGTTACTTTATTTTTAGATGTATCAGCCGAATTTGATGATAAGTTATCAGTGTTACTGCTCAATGATTCGTCTGCGTGCCACACATCTTCATTATTGGCATGTTTTTCAGCCTAAAAACATTTGACATAAAGCGAAGGTCAATTTTATTTGTTTAAAATACATAGTTAATAAAATTCGATACTTTTAATAAAGATAAAAAGCATATAGGTACAGAGCAAACTTTATGGGGGGAAAAAAAATTAAAACTGAAATTAGTGATATATACCAATTTTGATTTCTTGTAATTCAGTATAATGTGTTTGCACTCCGTTTCATTTATAGTTTTGATAATTATTAAATTATATTTCTCTAAATACCTGTAAAGATTCTTTTTGTGCTGTTTCTAATAAGCGTCTTCTACGTAATGTCGATTCTGGTATTTCTGCATCATCGTTCATAAGGTAACGTTTGTATGGGCCTCGCTCATAGTGATCGTTCATAGTGTATCGATTTTTATCACAAAGATTCTACCTTTTTCAACGTGAATATTCTACTTTTGACTATTATGCAATTTAAGCTAAAAATATAATTTTTTACTATCATATGCATCAGCGATACAATACAAACTTGAATTAAGCCTGTTGTTAATAAACTATTAAGTGTGTAATAGTTACGTTCAATATATTTCAATGTTTTGAAGTTAAAACGATCAATCTGTGAATTTATAGGTTATATATTGCTGCGGATTAAATGTTCTTTCAATAGCGAGAAGCATGCAGGATTCACACAGCATCCGATATCTATTGGGAATGGCTAAACTGCGATACGCTATCTGGTGGCGAAAACAGAACTAAAAAGAGTAGGTCGCCGGCTGCCACATAAATAAATCGACTTAAAAAACTATACACATAGTGGCACTCCCCGGAAAATTTTACCCCTATTTCATATACTTTTGGTAAAAATTCGGTTCAGGGAATAAGCACATACGTCGTATTGTAGAGTGACAAGTGATACTCTCTCCGGCCATTTTGCCTTGTGACGTCACGATCGCCAATCCCAATAATCAGAAAATTCGATTTTGAAAATCGTCGTACGTCGAATATTGGACGCTGTGTGAATCCTGCATCACACTGAATAATCACATTATGCAATTATGAACTTTCGTATTATGCCGGTTGCAGACGAGCGCAATAAAACGATGAAATGCGATATCCAATGAGCGTATTATAGCTTTCTCCAGAAAGCTGTATGCTGTATGTTCATTGGCTATCACGTCGCCTTCCGGCCCCCACGCTAAACGCGTCAACGCGTCCTGTGTGCGCAGTCGCTCTAATAACACGTGTCACGTCCCGACACACGTAAACGATATCCGCCGACTATCAGATTTGATAACTGCAATAATTTCCTAGTGCAGTTCTTAAAAAAATAAGATGAATGACAAAGAATGTGTATTGTGTGAATTCAGTAATGAAGATAATGCTATTGCGGTTGGCTATCGCGAGTGGTTGCTACATAGCTTAGACGAAGAAAAACTTGACCAGATCATTGGCAGCACGGAAGAGATTAAATTGCAATGGCCAAACGTAGATATTGGACCCGCCAATATAATGAAAACGAGAGTAAAAAAATGTATTTGGCAAACTGTGGTCGCAAAGATCCTGGCTCATGGTGGTAAGTAATGCATTAAAAGCAAAAGTAGGTATATATATATGTTTATTTTATCAACCTTTTTTTTATACCGATATGCCTGCACGGTTGGCTCGCGCCTCCAAGCCCGAGTTCAACGATTTTTATTAATGTCCCGGTAGCAGAGGGTTTAATTGTAACATGACGTTAGGTTAGGTGAAACATCCTGTATAAATAATATTTTCACTTTCAATTGATTTTAAAAATTTACACTTATCAATTTTCATCATTTCGGCTGCCGTCAGAACGGTGTATAAACTATGTACAAGCACATCCTATATGTATTTTTGACATTGGACAATTTATATGTTGTATGCTTGTTCTTTTGGTCGAATATTTATTTATTGTTTTTTAATATAGAACTTTATATATTTTAGACTGGAAGACAATGTGTAAAATGCGCGATAACTTAGAAAAATATTCCATATTAGATCCTACAAAACAGGACAGAAAAATCATCAAAAGACGAAGTACTGATAACGTTGAAGATGACAAAGATTCTGTGAATCAATCCTCTGCACCACAGGTTATATTTCGTATATTCTCTAATAATAGAATTTAATCATATGTACCACATAATTCTTCGTCAATTAAAAGTCAAACTAAATTTCTCACCTAGAAATCACAACTAAATAAAGAAAAGAAAAACGTTGTAAAGAGTGTCCTACATTGTTTGAGATCGCAATAATCATCATCGCGAAGCAATTACGCTCGGCTGAATATTAGAGCATGCACGCTTGCGAGAATTAATATTCGCGTCAAATGTCGCTAAAGAATTCGGTAATATTCAGAAGATATTATTCAGTATAGCATGGATCTTTTGTGATTAGCATTTTGACTTTAACATTGTTTTCAATAATAAGGTCAAGCTTTGTTCGACAGTCTACACGACTCATCTGCGCTCACACAAAGGAAAGATCCATGCTATAAACAACGCATTCGAAAATATGTAACGACCGGTTCGAATCGTCACTTGGCACTGTGACGTATGCACGGTGACGTAGGCCGTCGGTGGCCAATCATCTCCCTGAAATCATCGGCAATTAGCCTGGAGGGAGGCTCGTCTCCGAGACGATAAAGGACCGCCGCTGCGCCGCGGAACCGATTTCGCT